TTTTTTTTAAAGTCTATATTTTGCTTTACAAAAACGTGAAAAAGCAGCTGTGACCAAGCTATCACGAGGTGAGTAGCATTGTAAGCATAATTAATAGCGATATACTTCAGTTTGTCTGTGTGTTTTTGTATGCAAGCGGGTCTGCTGCGGTCTGCTGACAGTCCAAAATGGCGGCGGTAGGACGAAACCATGGGCGAGTCTGTTGCTATGGGGCGTTCTATTGAGCTTCGCCTCTTGGTGTCCATGCTCTTTGATTTTATTCCCTCTCGTTGCACAGTCCACATATTGTGTGAAGTTGGTCAGGACAGGAGAGAGAGAGATAGAGACATGATTTAAGTCCCCACTGATCAGGATAAGAGCGCTCGGGTGCGGCATCTGTAGTCCTGCGATCACTGAGTGGATGACGTCACTCGCGCTGGCTGCAACAGCTGATGGGGGAATGTAAACAACTACCATGATGGCGCGTGAAAACTCCCGCAGTAGAAAGTACGGCCGTTGTCCCACCGCCAGGAGCTTTACATGTACACACACAGTCCTTCACGGTTACGTGTCCGGGTTACACCACTTAGTGTTAACAAAGATAGCAAGCCCCCCTCGTCTCTTTTTGCCGCTCTGCTTCCTCCGGTCCGCGCAGATCAGCGTGAAGCCAGGCAGATCGATAACACTGTCCGGTATATTCCCATGTAGCCGTGTCTCCGTGAGGCAGAGCATGCTGCACTCCCCGTACACAAGCTGGTTGTTTACGAGGGCTGCCAATCCGACCGTTTTGTTGGCGAGTGACCTCACATCCCCCATGATGATCGATGGCAAGAAGGGCTCGAATTTCCTGTCTCTCTCTATCCCACGGAGGGGATCCCCCTTCCCACGCCTTTCTTCTTTGTATTTGCATCATCATAGCATCAACAGTCACACGTGCGATCAGCTAATATGTCAAACTGTTCACCACTGTACCTCCAACCTACTGAAAATGAAGTTACCTTTGACGAACATTGCCTCCTGATTGTTTCTCTGCCTCCAAAGAGGATCACACGAGCCGTATAGTGGTTCATTATGTAGATGGTACTACTATTATTTTTATAAATAAAATTGATTGATTGATTGATTCACATTTAGTCGATTGGCCATATGATGCAAGAGGCACTCAATGACCTTAGCAGGTAGCTGGCATGCAGACAGACAGTGTATCAGACATCACAGATTATTTCACATTTTCTTTAACTATGATGTTGGATTGGTTTGTCAAGAAAATTTGTAAGGTCTTTTGCAGTGATGATTAATCACTGATTGTTACAAATGACAATATATTAATAAAACTTTGTCTGCTGGTTAATTCTTCTGCATAACACCATCTGCGATGAACAGGGGCGGACTGGCCATCTGGAGGTTCTGGAGAATCACAGAACGGCCGGTACTCCAGGACGGAAGATGAGGGAAGCGCATACGTCACGCATATCGAGCAGCCGTGTGCAGCAGGTGCAGATGTATTCAAGTTAAACTGTATAATTACAGCCTCTTTACACTGTGATTTATCATAACTCATACCATGTCTTGTTGTGTGTTTCAGGCAGTCACCTGCATTGTATTGTTCAGCAGAGAGACATCTGGATTGTGTCGTTTATTTCTCAGTGAGTATTCTACACTATGCTCTTAACACAACATCTAGTCAACATTGGTGCTATTGCTATAATTTGGAAGGTATAGTATCATGTGTTAAGATTTAAGTATTTTGACACCCGTGTCTGGGGCTGATGAGTTTCCGCGCACCGGTTGTTGTGGGCTGGGCCGAGTCAAAGTCCAGGGGCCTGTATCACGAAGCAGGATTAATGTCTTAGCGAGGTAACTTCAGGGTTAACCCTGGGTTTTCGGTCTCACGAAGCCGGTTCAGTTCTTATCGGGGTAAATCACCATGGTAACTTACTCTGAACGACTATCCTGCTCTGGAGCAGGGTAAGTTCAGGGTTGAATCTGATCCTATAAAAAGCACCACCCACTGGCCAATCAGCTGTTTGGAAAAAATGACTCTGCTGACAGAAATGCAGCCCAGTCATGACGGGAAGTTTAATTCATTTGATTTTGATTTGAAAGTTTATTTTGAACATTAAAAAAGAAAAGAAAGCAACAACAACAGACAATGAAAAGATTGTTCAGAAAGGAGTGGAAAGAAGTCAAAATTTCATCCCACCCCTTCATAAGAAAGAAACTGATCATTTGCGGACACTTAATAGCACCATTAATTAGTGCCAACATTTTTTGTTGTTGGAGGAAATGATCCCTGTTAAAGATAATGGGCCTAATTGACAGCTTTGCTGCTGGAAATGTGGAAAGTAGCTTGTCATGTCTACACTTCATGGTGTTTGAGGGATTTTCCTTTTTGTTTTTTAAAGAGGGAGACTAGGTATATTTTGTGCAGCTGTTAATTTCTAACACAGCTCAATATCAGGATGATTTTATTCAGACTATCAATTTGGTGTTGATATGATTTAATTGTGGCGTCAGCTTTAAGCTTTATTGTAGCATATATAACGTTATGACAAAGAAGACCAATTTATCAGACGCAATGATGTTAGACAATAATTGTAATACACGCAATTCATCTGCACAGCATTGATTTCATGGGATTCAAGGGTGTGATAAGTGTCAGATGTACAGGTACAGGTACTGTAGCTACTTGAACCAGTGATGAGTAATTTAACCTGCACATAATTTTATTTGCTGCCTTGTTTTGTCTTGATTTTTCCCTCTCTCCTCCTCTATTTCTTCTTTCCTGACCCGTTTTTTTTTTGTTCTCTATTATGTGATTTCATTGATGTTTTGACAGGGGAATTTCTCTGATAAGCTTTTAGTGGCTTCTAACCTCTCCGGCACTTTTCTTTTTTTAATCTTGTAAATTTCATACTGTCTGTTTTTAACATTATGTGCAAATAAACTAATCTAAACTAAAACTAAATATTATTCATCCCGTTATGCGTTGCCACGCATGTTTCCTCCTCCTGCAGCTGCCACGGTGTTGGCCTTTTCTGTATGCTGCGCTTCTCTCATGATTGTGATTGGTCCGCTGCGTGCACGTTCACAGCTCTTGATAAAGCAAACCTCGCTTTGTGATACAGGCCCCAGGGCTGTTTTTTAGTCCCAGTCCACCCCTGGCGATGAGGCATCCTTTGGTGTCCTTGATCCTTGGTGTGGATGGAGCTTCAGCTGTGACGTTTTCGTCTGTGCTCTGTTTATAGTAATCACAACATCAGTGTAACATTTTTTTAAGATATTTTTGGGGCATTTTTAAGCCTTTAATCGATAGGACAGACAAGTATGAAGGGGGGAGGGAGAGAGGGAGTGACATGCAGCAAAGGGCCACAGGCCGGAGTCGAACCCGGGCTGCTGTGGCAACAGCCTTGTACATGGGGCGCCTGCTCTACCACTAAGCCACTGATGCCCCAACATCAGTGTAACATTTTAATAACAATTTTCGCGCCATGAACATGGTCAAACAAGCAGGCATACATAAACATATATAGTGTGTATAAATCTATTTCCTGAGGAACTGTTAACAATACAAACAATAATTGTTTGTCATACCAGTTGAGTCTTGGCTGTTGTTGCCTTATCCTCTTTCTTTTTTAATTCCCCTTTCCATGATGTCTAACAGTGGTTCGGATATGATCTCCTTGCAGGCCCTCTTCATCTCATTTACTGTTTGGTCATCATTGTTGTGGAGTTGTTTTTTTCTGCTTCACATACTGTTTGATAGTTGCAACTATTACATCTGCACAAGTTGAAAGTGGAAAGTTAAAAATACCAGAACTAACAGCTGGAATGGCAACAGAACTGTTGTGATGTGGTGATCTTTTCTTCTCCAATATTCTAATGTTAAAAAAGAGAATGTGTTAGTCATGACTAACAAGAACATCAGTTTTAACAATGGTTGGGCAACTTATTATATTGATGATGACTACACAGAAGGACACTACATTGAAATGATTCAAACTTTAAGTCCTGATTATTTTTTAAAGAAAAAATCTGTTGAATCCTAAACATGCATTCAAAATTAAGAGATAACATTCCAGCAAATTCCAAAAAAGATTATTATTTTATTATTTTTTTTTCCTCAACTGTTGAGACAAATAGTAAAAGCTTATTGTCTATTTCTAGGAAATAATGCATGAGAATGGTAAGACTACTTTGTTTATAAAATACAATAACATAATTTCCATGTCACTACTTGGATTATAAATAATTGAATGATTGTGTCTTTACTTCCAACAGTGTTACGTCCTTTTTTTCGCCATTTCTTCGCCATGTCTGACTGGCATACCCCCACTACAAAATCCCTGTCGTTTGAATCTGGTCACCACCTACTTTACTGTCTTCATAATTTCACCATTCTGTGTAATCATACAATGTGATTACTATTTACTAATTAAATGTAATTGAATGCTGACCTCTGGTTGTTCTGCTTGCAAATCTGGGGGTGGTTTAGGAGACCTTTCCTGTATTTTCTGTTACGAGAAAAGTACACAGTTTCAAGTATGTAAGGTTTAAACACAGTGCATAACTGCAAAAATTAAAATGTAAAAATTATACTATTATGTCAGACCAAAAATTCCTCAATACTTGTTGGATATATATATTAGAAAAAATATTCAAACAGGTGTACCAACAAACCCAAACTTTAAAAAAGTCATTGATAATGATGATAACGAAATAACTCACTTTTCAGTTTTTGAAACAGCAGGTCCGAGGTAAAAGGTGAAACATAGACCCTGCTTTTCACTTCTCTTTTTCCATGTTTCCTCTTCCACTCGAAAGCTCTTGACAAGATATCATATGTCAGACACACATACTGTACACAATGACACATTTACACAGTCACATTGTGTTTACCATTCTCTTTTGGTAAAGTGTCAAACAGTTTTTGTAATGTTTGGGCTTAATTTAATTGAATTTATAAACATCCAAGTAATCCATACTTTCTTTCTGGATCTCTTTTTGTCATCATATTCCAGAAGCAGGGCATCGTGCATTTTCTGGTATATCTGAACAAAGTCATCCAGTCTCATCAGCCTCCTTCTCTGGAACCGGACTCTCTTCAGATCCCATTGACTCCTCTCCATGATGCCCTGCATTCAGTTATCTTGTGTGAAGTTCTGAAAAGATGAATTACATTTCTTATCTGTTGACATTTTCAAGAAAATTTTGAATTTTAAATATACTGTAGCACAGATACGCACTTCAACTTTTTTATGCAGTATTTACCAGTGTAGAACTTTGAGAGTCGCTTGTATGCTGGGCCTTTCCTGTGCCGTCCGAATCCCCTCAAGACCATTACAACATTGTGAAATTAGAGGACAGTGATAGTATGTGAAAGTATATAAGTAATTAATATTCAGCTGTCTCATATCACTTGAACACATTAAAAACACTTATAAAACATACCCCGCATCAATGCAGACCACAGAGTTGCATGTGGGAGGAAGTCTTTTGCTAGGCCGGAGGTGAATGTTGGGGCATGGTAGATGTTTGGTTCACCCTCTACATCAAGGGGCACACTGCCAAAAATGTCCTGAAAAATGGATTTTTAGTGCTGTGCTTCCCAGGTCAATCTGAAAAACAATATTCACCATTTTAGACAATTGTAATATAAATGTTTATGTCATAACACAGTACTTTAGAAAATTTCACATGCTATTTAATATAAATGTTAAATAACGTATATGTTTTTCAAAATACATTACATGACAACTTCTGTATTCATCTTCATATTTCACGAATACACAAGCACCTGTTCCTCAGGATTAATTTTTAACAGTTATCTGATTCAATCAATCAACAACGGTACCGTAAACAAATGTTTTTTATTGCATTGTATTCCCATGTATGTTGCTAATGCCAGTCAGCGGGCTTACAGCAGCATGGCATCTGTCCCTCTCTAGCAACATACATGGGAATACATCGCAATATAATAGATTTGTTTACGGTGCTGCTGTTGCGCTCTTCTGCTCTGTCTTGTCTTGTCTTGACATTGGCTATATAAATCACTACATATGGGAAACATTTCAATTAACTTACCTCCCGGTAGCTCAAAAAGCATCTCCCGACTGTCGAGCGTTTCCGGTGGGAGAGAGGGAATCATGGGTGTAGCCCGCTCTGGAGCCACGTCAAACCCACCAATACAAACTCTTCTCTCATCCATCAGAGTAGGCCCCACCAATTAAGTGCAGTTGAACTTCCAAGCAAAACTTTAACTCGCAAGCAAAGAGTACTGATCTGCAAGCAAAACTTTTTAACCTGCAAGCAAAGAGGACTGATATGCAAGCATAACGTTTTATCTTGCAAGCAAAGAGGACTGATTTGCAAGCAAAACTTTTTAACTTGCAAGCAAAGAGTACTGATTTATAAGCAAAGTTACTTACAAACTTGATTTTTGATTGCAGTTCAAGAAATATGCTCTCAAAACAGTTTTATATGATTGCAACAAAAAGACACAAAAACACCTCCATAAATTGGAGCTCATCCAGGATTTTATGTCTTTAAGGCATTTTTGATGTTTAGTTAATTGATCCACTTCTGGCTTTATCAATAAATACAATTGTGTATCATCTGCATAACAATGGAAATTTACAGAGTGATTTCTATTGATGTTACCTAAGGGAAGCATATATAAAGTGAAAGTAGAATTGGTTCTGAGCACAGAACCTTGTGGAACTCCAAAACAAACTTTAGTATGTAAAGATGATTTATCGTGAACTTTAACGAACTGAGATTGATCGGATAAATAAGATATAAACCAGCTTAGTGCAGAACCTTTTATGCCAATTAAATGTTCCAGTCTCTGTAGCAGAATTTGATGGTCAGTTGTGTCAAATGCTGCACTAAGATCTAATAAAAAAAGAACAAAGACGACTCCTTTGTCTGAAGCAATCAGAAGGTCATTTGTAATTTTAACTAGAGCTGTCTCAGTGCTATGATGCACTCTAAATCCTGACTGAAATTCCTCAAATAAATTATTATCATGGAGAAAGTCACACAGCTGGTCTGCGACTACTTTCTCAAGGATCTTTGACATAAAGGGAAGATTAGATATTGGTCTATAGTTGGCTAACACCTCTGGATCCAGGGTGGGCTTTTTTAGGAGAGGTTTAATTACAGCTGCCTTAAAAGACTGTGGTACATAGCCTGTTAATAAGGATATATTGATCATATCTAATATATGAGTGTTAACTAAAGGTAAGACCTCCTTAAGTAGCCTAGTTGGGATGGAGACATAGAGACACGTTGATGATTTAGATGAAGAAATCACTGCGGTCAATTCTTGAAGAGAAATTGGGGAGAAGCAATCTAAATATATATTAGATTCTACAGCTGTGTTTGAGGTTAGATAGGTAGGCCTACCATCTGAGGGCAGGAGGTCATGAATTTTGCCTCTAATAGTTAGAATTTTGTCATTAAAAAAGCTCATAAAATCATTACTGCTAAGGGCTAAAGGAATACAAGGCTCAATAGAGCTTTGACTCTCAGTCAGCCTGGCTACAGTGCTGAAAAGAAACCTGGGGTTGTTCTTGTTTTCTTCTATTAATGCTGAGTAATAGTTTGCTCTGGCATTGCGGAGGCCCCTCTTATAAGTTTTGAGACTGTCTGTCCAGATTAAACGAGATTCTTCCAGTTTGGTTAATCGCCAATTCCTTTCAAATTTTCGCGATATTTGTTTTAACCTACGGGTTTGAGAGTTATACCAAGGAGCAAACTTTCTTTGCTTTGTTAACTTCTTTTTAAGAGGAGCTACAGAGTCGAGCGTTGTTCGCAGCGAGCCTACGGCGCTATCAACAAAATGATCAATTTGGGAGAGGTTAAAGTCGGCACGGGAAACCTCTGTTACTGAAGGTATTGGTATTGAATTTAACGACGAAGTAATCTTTTCCTTAAATTTTGTGACAGCACTATCTGATAAACATCTAGTATAGTAACTGTTGCTGAGTGGCGTGTAATCGAGTAAAAAGAAATCAAAAGTAATCAGATAATGATCTGATAGCAAGGGATTCTGTGGAAAGACTTTTAGGTTATCAATTTCAATTCCATACGTCAGAACTAGATCGAGGGTATGGTTAAAACAGTGAGTGGGTTCATGTACACCCTGACTGAAGCCAATGGAGTCTATTAATGAGATAAACGCGGTAGCCAGGGAGTCATTATCAACGTCGACATGAATGTTAAAATCGCCTACAATAATAACTTTATCTGATTTAAGAACTAAACTGGATAAAAACTCTGAGAATTCAGATACAAATTCAGAATACGGGCCAGGAGCACGGTACACTATAACAAATAAAAGTGGCTGCGAGGTTTTCCAGGTCGGATGTAAAACACTAAGAACGAGGCTTTCAAATGAATTATAATCTAGTTTAGGTTTAGGGCTGATTAACAGACTAGAGTTAAAAATGGCTGCAACTCCCCCTCCTCGGCCGCTGCCTCGAGGAATGTGGGTATTATTATGACTGGGAGGAGTGGACTCATTTAGACTAACATATTCATCTTGACACAGCCAGGTTTCAGTGAGACTGAGTAAATCAATATGATTATCTGATATTAATTCGTTTACTAACACTGCTTTAGACGATAGAGACCTGATATTTAACAGTCCGCATTTAATTCTCCTGTTTTGTCTTTCTGTCACAGAAGAGGTTTTAATTTTTATGAGGTTGTTATGCACAACTCCTCTTTGTTTAATTTTAGATTTAAATAATTTAGGTGGTCGGGGGACAGACACCGTTTGTATAAAACTATGAAAACTATGGCTGGGTAACTGAACTAGAAGCTCAGAGAGGCGTTTAGGACTGCAACTCTCTGTCCTGGTCTCAACTCTGGGTTGTCAGGGATTTAAATTACTAATAAAATTTGCCAGGTTCCTAGAAATGAGAGCAGCTCCATCCAAAGTGGGGTGAATGCCGTCTCTCCTAATAAGACCAGGTTTTCCCCAGAAAGTTTGCCAATTATTAACAAAACCCACATCGTTTGCTGGACACCACCTGGACAGCCAGCGGTTAAATGATGACATGCGGCTAAACATGTCATCACTGGTCAGATTTGGGAGGGGTCCAGAGAAAACTACGGAGTCCGACATCGTTTTTGCATATTCACACACCGAGGCAATATTAATTTTAGTGACCTCCGATTGGCGTAACCGGGTGTCATTGCCGCCGACGTGAATAACAATCTTACTGAATCTACGTTTAGCTTTAGCCAGCAGTTTTAAATTTGATTCAATGTCGCCCGCTCTGGCCCCAGGGATACATTTGACTATGGCCGCTGGTGTTGCTAACTTCACGTTCCTCAGAATAGAGCTGCCAATAACCAGAGTTTTATCCTCAGCGGGTGTGTCGCTGAGTGGGGAAAAGCGGTTGGAAACGTGAACAGGCTGGTGGTGAGCCGTGGGCTTCTGCTTGGAGCTGTGCTTCTGGCGAACCGTAACCCAACCTCCCGGCTGAACGGGAGTTACCGGAGGACAGTTAGCAGAGGCTAAGGCTATGCTATGTGGCTCCGCACCGGCTACAGGGGGCTGGCTAACTACCGCAGCTACTGAATGGTTTTCCATGATGCGGAGCCGCGCTTCTAATTCACTAAGCCTCGCCTCCAACGCAGCAAATAAGCTACACTTGTTACAATTACCACTGTCGCTAAAGGAGGCAGAGGCATAACTGAACATTTGGCACACCGAGCAAGAAAGAGCAGAGGGAGAAGCCATCGCTAACTGTAAAGCTAATGTAGCTACCAAGGCTAGTAACGTGCAAACAACAGCTAAGAGATTAGCGAGAAAGTCGTAGAAAGGAGGAGAGCTAAGTGCTTAAACAGATCTAGTGTGGGTTAAGACTTGGAGTAGACGTTAAAGCAACTGAAGTGAGAAAGCATAAAGCAGGCTAGTAGAATTCACCAGAGCAGTACAGAGACGCTGTCACAGAAACACCGGAAATGACACAACTCGCTTACCGCAATACGTCAGCACGTCGCTAATAGGCTTCCCCTATCTAAGATCTGTTATTTTTTTTTCAGACCAGAGGCAGTTTATAGATGAAATAACATTGCATTTCAACCAAAATTATGTCTCAAATTAGTTATTTCACTAGTAAGCAGCTGTGTAATACGTGGGATTGTCTGCTGAAAACATTAAGTAGAATTTGTATTTGGGTAGTAAAACCAGCATTTTTAAAATATCCAAGCATTCTGTGTCATAGCTACATGTGTGACGTTTTTAACAAATCAAACTGTTTGGAAATCGGTTGAAAAGTCAGTGAATAATTCTACTTTGAGTTTGTGGAGTACCTCTTACCTCCATAGATGTGGGGTGAATTTGCCTAATGCGGGACATTTTTTGCAATTCAGACTTCTGGTCTATATTGCAATAAGAAGCAAACACTTTCAATATACATCCAGTACCATTCTGAAATCCCCAGGTTGTGATCTAATAAAATCAAAAGAAAAAATACTGATATTACATTCCTAAAAGAAACGCTATACATATCAAAATTCTGATTGCCAAGTTGTCTCGGGCAATCAGCATTTCCTAATGTGGGACAGTCATTTCCCTAATGTGGGACACTGAAAGGTCTGTTTAAAAGTCACCTTAATTCACATAATAAATGCTAATTTTCAAACGTGTCTG